ATAGGGCTCTTAAAGTGGCATTTTCCTTAACATATCAAATGCTTTTTTCATAATAAATAATTATGAGCACAACGGGAATATGAGAATGAGAATATAATATTATTCTCAACATCTTTCGGTCAATTGTGAGATGACAGATGTAGCCCATTGTTAACTATTGTTTATAAAAGCCTGCCTGTTCTTTACTAACATGATGTTCTTGATTACCGTACAGTTGACTTCCATAACAATTTTGTATAGGTGGGGGAATAGGCATATAGATTGTTGATATTCTCAGTTCCTTTTTTTTTCAGTATTAGTAAAGTCTGAGTATTTTCCATTTCTTTGGTATTTTTTCTTCCTTATACATACACCTTCTACCTCCTTATACATACAACTCCTTATGCAACTCTTCAACATGTTCACAATTGTGTCTTCTCTAGCATAGATAGCTTTGGTCCAATCCAAAGGTGCTTTTACTGTATTTTTCTTATTAGTGCTATTTCAGCTCTTGCTTGCTCTCTCTCTCTCTCTCTCTCTCTCTCTCTCTCTCTCTCTCTCTTTATCTCTCTCTCTCTCTTTCACCTCTATCTCTGAATTACAATGTTATTGTTCATGTTAAATAAAATATATTTGATTATGAAAACTGTTATAATAATTTTTACATATCTTTTCCATTTTTCTTCTCTATGTTGTCCTTCCATTTGCATCTTTAAATATCCCAGGGATGACATTGCTTAATTGGATTTCTTGCTAAGCTTTCTTTAAGCTGGTTTTACCTTCTTCTGATTTTCTACTTTATCAGAAGATACTGCCCATAATCATCCTGCATAAGATTTGACAAATGAGTTTATGTGCTAAACTTAAATTGGCTTTGGTCACCATCTCTCTTTACTGGGCAAATAAGTCAAATATCTGCTGATTAATACACTCACTGGACTCTTTTGTTTTCCTTGTGGCAATGAATTATTATCATTGATTTCAATGTCATTTCTGTTGTCAGTTTCACATTTCTAAATTAAAGTTGTTTCAGTTGTACGGCACAGTTTCATGTTGTTTTTTCTCACTAGTCTTCTTTTTGATTTTGACTAATTTTGTTCTTTGCTCTAAGAACTTTGTGGTCTCATTATACACAGGTAGTTGCTTCAGAGATAATTCTCACATCAGTAACATCTCTTTTTCTCTGTCTTAAAATATAATCTACTTCATTTTTTGGCAGTGTTATTTGGTGCTCCTCCACCTCTTAGTTTCCCAATCTTCCGTCAAAATTCATATAAATTCTCACCTTCTGCAGGAAGACTTCACCAGTCTCCCCACTTCTAATGGCTTTCCCTCTGGCACTATCTTCCATTGCTGTGTATATATCTTGTATGCGCTTGGTTATTTACGTGTTGCCTCCTTTATTAGAATGTGAGATCCTTGAGGGCAGAGACTGTTTTGACCTTTCTTGGTATCCCTCATGTTTAGACACAGGCCCTGGAAAGGTGTTGGCTTGCTTTCTATTTCTATCTTTCTGATTCTTTTCCTGAAGAAAATGTTTGTGATATAAAGGCATGAGGCCTCTACGTAGTCTACAAGAAGACTTTGGCCACTCTTAAATCCTTTATCTGAATTTGATTTCCCATATATTCTTGCCATTCTTACCTTTTCTCATCTTTGCATTAAGCCTATGTTGATTTATCTCAAAGAATCTTAACAAGTTCTTTGTGGGATTTCTTTTCCTTTTCATCCTTGCAACAAATGTTTTTTAAAAATCTGCAATTATTTTCATGGTGGTCTTTTTGCAAAGACTCATTAATGTGGTAATATGACAGCTATCCTAGAAAATAATGTTTGTTATTTCTTATTGCCCTTGGACATATGAAAACAACCAACTTTGCCAGCTCCTTACATTGCTTCTTCAAGGAGTACCTATCTTTCTATTTAGCTGCAGATTCTCTCTATATTTTTTTTTGTTTCATTTATTGCACATGGAAGGAGTTGGGTAGGGAGGAGTTGATTCCCTGTCCCCCAGCTCAGATGACTCGTCATCGGATGTAGTCACAAATGATGAGTTATTGACATGGTAACTAGATAGTCATACCCAGTGATCCCTTTATAACACATAAAAGTCTCTCTGATTGATTCAGAAAAGGCAAATTAATTGGCTAAACAACAACAACAAAAAGAGTTCATTTGGTATCTTTAAATAGCTAATCAGTGGCAAAACACAGAATTTCAAAAGTTTGGCCATTTGGGTTGAGTTGGAGAGAAAAAGGGCCAGTAGTTAGAAAAGAACTTATATGCTTCCTTTTTAAGGGAGAGCGTGTAGCAGTGAAGTTGCTTACCTAGGAGAAGACATCCCAGCAGTCAGAGAATCATTTCAATAGAGTTCAAGGCTCAGTGGAGAAAGACATGCAGATGCAGAGAGACAGTCACTAAAGTCCAATAGAACTTTCAAAGATCATGACCCTTGACAGTAGAAAAGAATATCAACTCTGGAGTCAAGAATCAGCTAGGCCTGGCAATAGACAGTTAAGTTGCAAACAGGACTAAATAAGGAGAAAAGGACTTTGAGGGTCTACAGTTCCAGAATTGTGAGCCACATTGGCCCTATATGTGTGCCCCTTTACCACTCTACTCTTAAATTTGTGCCCACTTCCCCATAGATTCTATGTGTATCAGTAGGAGAGTATGTCCCAGGTGTGTGAGGGGAATGTTTTATAGCTATTACTCTGCCACATTAGTAAAATACTTTATTAAGAACTAACTGAGTCCGATGGCTGGTTATTAATGAAATTCACACCAGTGGGGGCTTGTGAGGTATAATTGTGGAGTGAGTTCCCAAGGGTGCCCCTTGATCCTACTGTAGTATTGCCTTCTGGGAACCCAATCTACAAGTGCAAGGTGGTGTAGCCTCAATGATATTACACAAGAATACCAAGATGGTTATAGCTCACTTCCTCCAACAGTAGACTATTTACTTGTTAGTCATTGAATCTCATACTTAGAGTGCCAAGAGAATGATAACAATAACAACACATTTACATAGCACCTATTATGTATATCGGGCGCTGTACTAAGTACTTTACCAAGATTATCTCATTTGATCCTCACAACAATGCTGTGAGGTAGATGTTGTTATTATAGCCATTTTACAATTGAGGAAACTGAGGCAAACAGAGGTTAGATGACTCTCCCAAAATCACACAGTTAGCTAGTGAGTGTCTGAGGCTGGATTTGAACACAAGTCTTCCTGACTCCAGGCCCATCACTCTAGCCACCATTATCAGCTGCCCTAAAAATCAAATTAAAGTTTAGAGGTGGTCTAAAAACTATGTCATTCTGAGCACCTTCTGCCTCCTTTTCTGATTCTCTGCTACTGTCACTTCAAAAGCAAAAGGGGGCTGGGTAGGACTAAAAGTTATTTTATAGTTTTCTTTGTGTCTTAGGTTACTATAGCCAAAACATTCATTACAATTGGCTGGCCTACTAACGAAGAGTCTCTCTGTAATAATCGTGCAGTCCCTCAGAAAGCAAACTCAGTCTGTTGCTGGGGTTGTACTCAAAGCCTTTCATCGTGGGAGAATCTGGAATGACTTTCTCAGGTTCACCTCCACACCCCAACGAGGCATCAGAGTAGGACTTTATGGAGTCTGTGTATCAGGATCTGAATCTACTTCCGATAGCTATATAGACATATCCATGTAGAGATCCCGTATGAAGACTGAGACCAACAAACAGCTAAATAGATGGATATGTAAACATAGTTGTTTATCTCTTAGGTCAGCACAGCTTGGTGGCACAGTGGAGAGAATGCTGGGCCTGAAGTCAGGAAGACCTGACTTGAAATCCAGACACCTCAGACACCTACTAGCTGTGTGACCCTGATCAAGTCACTTCACCCTGTCTGCCTCAGTTTCCTCATCTGTCAAATGAGCTGGAGAAGGAAATGGCGACCACTGCAGTATCTCTGCCAAGAAAACCCCAGATGGGGTCCAGAGAGTCAAACATGAGTGAAACAACTGAACAACATCAACAACAACGTCTTAGCTCACAACTGGCTCCACTGAAGACCTAGAAAGAAGGGGCTGGGAGGAAAGAACAGTGGATAGAGCATGACTAAAGATGGGGGGAGGGGCAAGGCATAGGAGCAGAGCTCACTCTAGAGTCAGAAAAGCTGGGTACAAATCCTGCCTTCCTTATGACTTTGAGAAAGTCACTGAGCTCCCCTCTGTCTCCTCCAGTATTAAAAAAGAAGAGAATGGATGAGATGGCCTTCCAGCTCTAAACTGATGAAGGTTTGATTTTAAGGACATCTTTCAAACGGTACTGATATAGCCAGTGCAATCCAATGTCACCTACACCATCCTTTCCAACAGTTCCCAACTTCCCATCTGCCCCCAAAGAATCTAAGAGGAGGGCATTTTTAGGCCAGACTAGCTTCTCTCTTAATCTGTTGTCACGAGGACTAAAGAATTGTGGTGAGGGTCCCTGCCACCTATAATGAATGAATGAATAGTCCTGTGGGACTAGCAATTACTTACTTAAACAAATGTGCATTGACCAAAGATACAAATATAGACCCAAATGCTGTTACACACTAAAATCACACATGTAGAACAAAGTGCTCTACAAGCCGTAATGTACTCTATAAAGGTGAGCTGTCACTTATCTGCTATTGAAAAGCAGAAGTTCTATTTCTAAGGCTGAATTTCAAGAAACAATGTGTCTTCATGGCCTAGACAGTCAGGTGGAAATCTCTCTGCCTTCCCTAAACTTCAGCATTTTAGTGAGTGCCATCTTCCACTTGGGCCATAGGGCCTTCACTGGTGCATGAGGCCAGTAATGCCACCATGGCAGTTATAGAAGGAGGGAGAGGACAGAAGAGTTCAGGTAGTGTTACTTTGCATAGCAAACGTGTTCCTGAAAAGTTCATGAGGTCATAGGATCACAGTCACAGTTGCAAGGGATCCCCATTAGTCCACCCCTCTCTTTTTATAGATGAGGAAACTGAGGCCCAGAGATGTCAGCTAACTTACCCAAAGTAAGGAGAAGAATCAGGATTTGAACTCAGTTCCTCTGATCTGGAGTCCAACATTCCTTCCACTGTCCCACACCGTGGGTAGGTAATTCCTCATGTGCATGCTGCTTCACATTCTAAAAGAGACCAGAGTGCTTACTATCAGGGGGACTCTGATGGTATAGATACTTTTTAAAAGGAAGAATCTTGTTTGTAATTATTTATACTTTTAAAAAATTATTTATAATCATAACAGTCAATTGTTTGTAAAAACAAAAATAAATCTCCCCCAGTGTATCATTTGGAAGGAGAATTAAATTTGCAACAAGAAGACTTGAGTTCAAATTCTGTCTCTACCTGAATTGTTCTTTTATTCTCAACCCTACCAGTTCATGAGAAATGAGTGAGTTCTGACAGCACCAGTTGTATGTGCATGTGAGAGAGAAAGAGACAGAGACAGTGACAGAGTGAAAGACAGAGGAAAAAGAGACATAGAGAGAGAGAGAGAAGAGAAACAGAGAGAGAAAAAGAGAGACAGAGACAGAGAGAAAAAGAGAGGGAGGGGAGGAGGGAGAGACAGAGACAGAGAAAAGGAGGGAGAGAGAGAGAGAGAGAGAGAGAGAGAGAGAGAGAAGAGAGAGAGAGAGAGAGAGAGAGAGAGAGAGAGAGAACACAAAGGGTGCAGGTCCCTCCAAGGTTCAGACCTGGTAGATCACAACGGTTATGGAAGGCATGAGGTAGGAAGGAACAGTTCAAAGGAGGAACTGAAACCTAGTCTTAGAAATATAAGAAATAAGAGCGTGAGCCCTACAGCTTCGGAATGCAGGTCAAAGCCAATTATCACACTCTAATGGAGGGGGGCCAGTGGTGAGTATCCATTTGGAATGCAGTGAGAGCAGTTCTACAAGACTGATCGCATTAATATGAAAAGAATATTATCGAAATCAAGAAGGTACAACAGAGGGCAGCCAGAATGATACAAGGACTCAAGGACCTTAATTATTTAAAAAGGTTGGAAACACATTTGCTTTACATTCCTGTGTAAAGAATAAAGTAGAAAAGGAATTTGTTGAGAACTCCCCCAATTTCTAGGTAGCCAAGTGGAGGGGATTTACAAGGACTAACAGCAGAAGACAAGAAGAAGGGCATGTACCCAGGCCCAGAAAGAACGGGTATTAGAGGAGTTTAAGTAGGCTCTCTTTACAAAGAAAGGAGTGAATTTATGGTTCGAGCCACCAAACTAGTTTTCATTGTAATACATACATTCTGTACGTATGAGTATTTATGCAAATACTATATATTTTTTAAGGAGACAAGTATTACAAAGGAAAGTAATTATGGGGTAGACTACAGCAAAGTCAAGTAGATTTAGGGAGATTTCCTATCCTAAAATTTCCTGTGTTCTGCAACACTTCCATGTAATTTTCAATGTTTGGAGTGCCCATTGGTAAAAGAAACTAAACACTAAAATAGAATCACAAGATTGCAGGATCTCAGCACTGGAAGAGATCTCAGAGACTGGCTAGTCTAACCCATGTCTGGATAATTCCTTCTACTCTTGGACCCAAGTGGTGATCCAACCTCTGTTTGAAGACCTCTGGTGATGGTCTAGATCACAAGGCAGCCCATTCCACTTTTGGGTAGCATTTGGGAAAACTTCCTTACATTGAGCTGAAATTGGGCTCTCTGCACATTTTATCCTCTGGGGCCAAGCATAATAAGTTTAATCCCCCTTCTGCATTACAGTGCTCTAAATACTTCAGGACAGCTGTTGTTATTGCTACCACCACATCAGCCCAACCCTCCCCAAGTATTCTTCTGTCCAAGCTAAATACTTTAAATGATATTCAAGAGTAACTAACAGAAAAGTAATCTCTGATCTGGGTATCTTAAAACGCTTTTTTTTAAAGCCTCAGATTTCCAAAACCCTGTAAAATTCACATGTTTCACTGGGGGTTCATCCATCTACTGGTCCATGGAAGAATAATGCTTTTAAGGAAGACTATGGTACATAATAGATCAGTTAGTGGTGGAATGGCCTCGTAGAAGATCTGCAAAACTTGAGTTCAGCCTGGAAGGACGGGAAGAATGGCATCATGGGAAGGGTCAGTTGGGACAGTCTCTCCTTAAGGCCTTAGAACTTAATGTGCCAGAGATCATTGAGTCCAATCTCCTCATTTTTTAAAGATGAGCCCACCCATGGCACCTCAGTTCCTAGGGCTCTTCCTGGCCATTTCCTTGGAATGGGCCATCTCCTCTCCTCCACCTTGTAGGATCCCTTGCCCATCACCTTCTAGAAGAAGCCCTTCTTGATCCTCTCAGACACTAGCTATCCTCCTCCATAAACTACATTGTATTTATTCTGTATATAAAGTCCCACATAAAGTCTCCACAATTAAAATAGATGCTCCTTGCCAAGAGAAATTGTTTAATTTTTACTATGTCCCCAGCATGTAGCACATATATAGTGGGTGTAGATGATATACTAGGTGACACATAGTAGCTGGTTAACAAATTCCTATCAATTAATTGGAGTGAGTACTGGGTTGGGAAAGGAAACTTAGTATGGAGAAAAGGGCAGCAGAGGATCCCAGCTCAACAATGAGAGCTCTTCACCTAATATTATTAGAGACCACTGGTGGACAGAAGTATTAATTTCCCTGACCATGCTACCACTGCTGGTGCTACTGCTACTATTGCTGCTACTGCTACCACCACCACCACCACCACTATAGTAGTAGTTAGTAATAGTTGACTAAAAAGTTTGAGGGTCAGCTGGCAACTTTTGTCCTTCTTCCAATCATTAAACAAAATTTCTGTATTCCTGACATGTATATACTCCTCCCCCCAAATATATTTAGTATCCTTCTCCACTCCCCCACCCTTCCTCTTTACCCTTAATTCTTTGGGAGACCAAAGTCTAGCCCTCATTGGGGTTGCAACCCTATCTCTCCAAATTGATTTCCAGTTCTGATGGATAATGGTAGAGAAGGGACATGTACCTCTTTCTTCACAATCCTCATCATATGGATAAAATTGTCCTTAGCAAACTTTCATCACTTTCAAAATGATTAAGGAACATGTGGTTGGAAACAAGCACATCATATCAAGTTGAGAAATATGATGAAATATCTCTTCACAGGTATTTGCCTGAACCAAGTCCTAAATTGGGTGAAATATATCAATATTCTAGATCTGGCAAGATTTTGGGGGGAGGATGGAAGGGAAATGGAACCGACTTTCAGGGAGCAGAAGAGAGGGTGGGGGAGAAGGGTAAATTGGTTTGGACTCTGACTGGGGAGAGGGAAGCAGACAGCTTGCACCTGCATGTCTTCCCTTCCTAACATGAAAACATTCAAAATGGGGAACAGCAGGGAGGGTGGATATTTCAGTCAGTGATTGATAAAATGATTTAATAAAAATAGTCCCCTCCTCTCCTTAGTCTGCATATCCCACTCTCTTCTTCAAAGTTCAATCACCAGTGAATCACGTCCTGAATCAAAGGAAGGGGGAGAGATCTTTGGCACATATGCCGATGAAAATGAATTTGTCTTTTTGTGGGGGTTTTCTGCTAGTTCAATTTTTTAAATGTTTTTTTCCTTAGTTTTCTTTCTTATTATTAATTTAGAGCTAGATGTACCTTTATTTTGCAATCCCAAATGGTTTGTATACATTATTCATGAATCAGCAGGAATTCTAAGTAGTGTTTCCAAAATATTATTATTGTATTTTTAGGTAATTTCAAATTGAAGACCATCTCTAGTCACCCTGATCTATACCTCACCACTGGACCCAGATGGCTCAGGAGGAGAAGGTGAGGCTGGTGACTTTGCACAGCCTCCCTCACTGAAATCCAATTCAATTGCATGTCATGGCATCACCTCCCTGACGTCATGATCGTCTTCAAGAATGAAGGACAAACAACAACCTCTGTAAGTAGCATTGGAGCTGCCCCATTGGGGACCCAACTGGAATTGGCCAGTTGAGCAACACAGCTCCTTCCTTCCTTCCTTCCTCCCTTCCTTCCTTCCTCCCTTCCTTCCTTCCTCCCTTCCTTCCTTCCTCCCTTCCTTTCTTCCTTCCCTTCCCTTCCTTCCTTTCCCTCCCAGACTGATTTTTTTTCTTTCTTTTTTTTTCTAACCAGGTAAAAAAGGCCATTCTCTGCCTCAATTCTTACCTAGCCTTAATCACTGAATGGGTGTTGCCTCAGTTAAACTGAGCCCTGTTAAAGATCTAGCTTAAAAAGGTCAAGGTCTCCCACTGCATCCTGAGCCATCTCCAGTCATCCTGACCTATATCTTGCCACTGGACCCAGATGACTCCAGGGGAGAAAATGGGGCTGGAGACTTTGCACAGCCCTCCCTCACTTAAATCCAATTCACTTGCATGTCATGGCATCACCTCCCTGATGTCATGATCCTTTTCAAGAATGAAGAACAAAACAACAATTTCTAATTAATCAGGTAAGTACTGATGTCTAGTAGTTTTGCCAGATGAAGAGACAGCTCCTAAAATACCTCCCATTTATGCAAGTTGTTTTCCTTACAACGACCTTATTGGGAAAGTGCTCTGGCTCTTTATTATCCCCATTTTACAGATGAAAAAAATTGAGGCTCAAAGTGGTTAAATGATTTGCTACATGATGATATAGGCAGGAAGTATCAGCATGATCCAGTGGTTAGAGAGGTGAACATGATGTCAGTTAAAATCCTGCTGATAATTCTGGCTAGCTTTCTGACCACAGGCAAGCTGCTTAACTCACTTAGCTCATCTGCAAAATGAGGATGCCAACACTTGCCTTTCCTACCTCATAGGACTGGTGTGCACCTCCAAAAAGATAAGGTTTGCAAAATATATCACAAACTTTAAAATTCTATAAAAATGCCACGGGTGTTCATTTTTCTTATTTGAGGCAGAACCAGTTAATTCTGGGTTCAAGTGCTGCCTTGAGCAAATGCTGGCTACGTGATCTCTGAGCAAACCCCTTAGCCTCTATTATAACTCTCTAATGGTAAAAAGCCTCAGAATAGGTCTCAGTTTCCTTTAGCAGAGGGAATTTCCTCACCAAGGATTTCCCTTACAGTGATGAAATCAAAGGTCTGGACCAAGAAAGGCAATTCTAATTGGTGAAGTTGGAACCTGAAGCCAGGTCTTCCCACTCCAAATTTAATACGCTAGACTTTCACTACATAACACTAAGGGATGAGATCAAAACAATATAAGATATTCCATCTTAACCTTCAAGTGAATTCTATAGATCTCCAGCTGGAAAAATACCATGGGTTACTGACCCTGAACAAGCCAACTCAAGCTACTCATTTTGTTGTTTTAATTTTTTTCTTCTTAACTTGTGATTTCATCAGTCAACAAACATTTATTAAGCACCTATTATGTACCAGACATATGAAGTGTGGAGAACTCCCTGTGAGCAAATTCCTTCCACAGATACAGGTCAGCCTTTTCTCTAGAGTCTTAGAGAGTTGCCTGGAACACTGAGAAGTTACCCAGCCAGTGCGTATCTGAGGCAGGATTTGAACCCAGGTCTTCTTGTCTCCAAGGCTGGCACTCTATCCACTACTCCATGCTAATCAATAATCAGCCCTGTAAGCCTAAAAGAGGAATACCTTGTGCCTGAACACTCTGGTAATGATCAGGATTCAAAATCACAGAAAGACTCCAGCAGAAATACTTCCAGACTCAGAAGGCAAACATCTGTGACCCAACCACAATCGCTGAGGAGACCCATTGTGACAACACAAAGCTAGATGGAATTTTGACAATAAGAGTCCCAGTGCCTCTGTCCATATCAAGTAACTTGGGAAAATTCCACTGCAGACTCCTGAGTTGTTTCTTGTGACCAGTCCCAACACAACCAAACTATCTGAGTCTGGTTTCTAACACTATTAACATATGCTGCCCATTTGTTAGTTCAGCAGAATGGATAGGCATTTATTAAGCACTTACTACGTGCCAGGCATTATGCTAAGCTTTAGAGAGCAAAAGGGTTAGGAAGAGTGGGAATTGGATGAGAGATCAGCATAGGGAAGTAGGAGGGATGCCAAGAGAGAAGGCAGAGCTCTGCATTTCTGGACAGCTCCTTGCCCTTTAACTAAGGGAAAGGATGGGTTAAAAAAATGGCAGCAGAAAAGTAAGAAAGCAGGAAACAGTGGACTGTGTTTCTGAGGGTAATTGAATCAAGGGGTAGTCTAGGTGACGTCACACTTTCAAAAGAAAAAACAGTGCTGTGGCATTCCTGGAGGAGACAGGCCAATGAGCTCTGACTCACCAGTCCATCACACTAACCACCACAGATTCAGCAAGGAGAAAGATGGACAGAGATACGGAGAGACAGATGCAGACAGAGAGATAGAGAGAAGGGGGAGAGAAAAGGGAGAGAGGGGGAGGGAGGGAGGATAGGAAAAGAGAACAGACACACAGAGATACAGAATTAGAGAGAGAGAGAGAGAGAGAGAGAGAGAGAGAGAGAGAGAGATACAGATAGAAAAGGGGGAGAGAAGAGGGATATGGGGGAGAGAGAGAGAGAGAGAGAGAGAGAGAGAGAAGAGAGAGAGAGAGAGAGAGAGAGAGAGGAGGAGAGGAGAGGAGAGGAGAGGAGAGGAGAGGAGAGGAGAGGAGAGGAGAGGAGAGGAGAGGAGAGGAGAGGAGAGGAGAGGAGAGGAGAGGAGAGGAGAGGAGAGGAGAGGAGAAATACAGAGACACAGAATCAGAGAGAGATAGATACAGACAGAGAAAAGGGGAAGAGAAAAGGGAGAGAGGGGAGGGAAGAAGGAGGAGGAGGAAGAAGAGGAGAGAGAGAGAGAAAGAGATAAGAGAGAGACTGAGAGATAGAGACAGAAAGAGATAGAGAGAAGAGAAGAGAAGAGAAGAGAAGAGAAGAGAAGAGAAGAGAAGAGAAGAGAAGAGAAGAGAAGAGAAAAGAAGAGAGAGAGAGAGAGACACAAAGACAGAATCAGAGAGAGACAGATACAGAAAGACAAAGAAAGGGGGAGAAAAAGGGTAGAGAGGAAAGGCAGGGAGAGAGATCTAGACAGAGAGAGAGGTGGGAGGGGAATCCGTTGCTCTCCTCATGTCTTGGGGTCATCAGTAGTTCCTGCATCATTTACTTACAAACTCAGCAATGAAAATCACAAGAGAAAAAACGAAAAATACAGAATTGCCTGGTATCGGGATGCAAAAACAATCCAGCCAATGGAAAGGTCTTTCACCTGTTACCATGTACTGATGAACTAGGTTGCCCTCCCTAGTTGGAAGGAATGATGCTGGGACTAGAATTTGGGATCCAGATTGATTGATCTTTTTAATTTAATATCTGTTCATGGGGAGGCTGGTTTCTTTATTGTGGTGGCACCTGCTAGTGTGATTATCATTACAAGGCCTGTTGGAGAGACTTTATTGTAAGGGCTTATTTCTATTATAAATACTGGTTGGGGAGGGGGCATAATATCCCAGCAGGTTCCTGTTACCCTGGGCTAAAGTCAGGCCTCCAAGTCAAGTTGTTAATCCATATTCACCACTTGGGGGAAAAAAAAGACAGAATTGCAAACAACATAAAGGAAAGCCCAAGCAATGAATTAAGTCCTAGGACAAAATTAAAGCATGACTTTAGAGCTAGATAGACCTTTAGAGGTCAGTGAGTCCAACCTCCTCATTTTACAGATGAGGAAACTAAGGCTATCTTTCCCTTCTGCTTCAGCATGGGAAAAGGTAAGTTGCTGGATGATTGGATCACAAACCCTGCCCCCACCCCCAACACTAATGTGATTTTGCGCTAACCATTCACTTACTGAACCATAATGGCGACGGGACAGCTCCATAGATTCCCATGAATTTTGCAATAAGAGAGCTCTATAATTATAGGATAATAGCTATTGATCTGGAAGGGACCCCAGAGGTCATTGAGTCCAAGTTCCTTAAAGAGAAGGGATTGTGGCATGCTTGGTATTTATATCCTCAGGGCCAAACATAGTGCTTGGCACATGAGAGATGTTCAATTAATACTTGTTGATTGATTCATTACTCCCTTCACTTCATAGATAAAAATCTGAGGTCCACAAGGTAAAGTGACCTGTTGCCAAGGCCACACAGATAGCAAAATGGCAGGAGCAGGATTCAAACCCCCATCCTTTGACTAGAAATCCAATGTTCTTTCTTTTAGACTAATGATGTCAAAGGCAAATAGAAATGGAGGCTGCTAAACCATAGCAAGCATGACTTAGAAAACCAAACATGTTTATATCTCTATGTGTGTGTATGCATATATGTGTATATACACATATATAACTACATATATATACATAAACATGTATATATACCATACATGTGTATATTATACACATCTATGCTTATTAACACATTTAATCTGGTTCAGGCCACACACGAGTGTCGTGGGTTGTTCACATTTGAGTGCTCTGCTCTAGATCATGTTATTTGGGAACAGAAGCGAGCATCACTGCTACCCTGGATCCAGAAACCTCTAGATTCTGAGGGCGATGGGATGACACTTTCATCCACATCTGGATGGCCTTTTGCAGATGTTGCAGCAGCAGTTCTTTTCACTGGAGGCAACCAAGAATCCCTCTGGAGCCTAAGACAAGGGGACATTAATTAGTACCCACGTGATATTTATGCAGTTCTGATCACGGGTATCTCATCTCCCCCTCCCCAACCTCACTCCTGCTTTCCCCCAACCATCTCATAGATGACAACCTAATTGTCTGAAAGAAATACAGAAGAAAGAAGTCTGTTGTCCCAAGTGGAATCCTGGGTAATTTAGGTCTGATCAATGAATCAAACTCCAGCATTAAGATGCAATATGACATTTATATTCTATAAAGTGGAATAAAATCCAGTTTACTAAGAGATTAAAAGATCTCTCTTCAAAGTTGTTATTGTTTGTTGTTTGCCCTTCCTTCTTGAAGAGAAGCGATGATGTCAGAAGGGTGATGTCTTGACTTGCAAGTGAATTGGATTTAAATGAGGCAGGGCTGTGCAAAGTCATCAGCCTCACTCTCTCCTCCAGTGTCATCGGGCCAAGACATTCATCAGTATGACTGGAGATGACCTCGGTCTGCAAAGTTAAATGTGTAGGAACTACTTTCCTCCACCTCCCGTTGTCAGGTCAAGAACTTGGAAAAAATGTTTTTCCTCATTTCCACCCCTCTACCTCCCACCCTGGACAGGACATTAATTACCCTCCGGCTGGGTCTTTTTACATTTCTAATGACCAAGAAGCCAAAGAGTATCCCTATCCCCTTAAAGGACCAGCTTAGCCTTGCACACTTGCCAGGGGTGAGAGAAGCCCAGAGGGGCAGGGAAGGGAGAATGAGAGAGCAGAGACAAAGAGAAAAGGACAAGGGGGCCCTGCTCCCAGGGGCCCACTGGGGCCCACACCAAAGCCCAACATCACTCCTGCCACCCTGGGTTAAAAGTTGGAGGGAAAAACATTGTCATCATCAACAACAGCACAGCAGAACCCATCCCAAGGTACTCTATTTTGTCAGATAAATTAAATACAAATTTCTATGATTGGAGATCAGCAGGCAAGGAACAAGGCTGAAATATATTGGCACCTAGACGTTCCTGTCTGCTCTAATGCTGATGGGGGTTTGGGGCGGTCCATTTCACCACACAGTGATGACGCTTTGAATGAATCATCCTATAACCTGCTAAACCAGCTTATGTGATATAATAAAAATGTTCTGTAAAAAACAGGAACACACACACACACACATATACACACACACAAAACCACAGACACTCTCCTTTTTCGGCTTAATTTAAATGACTCCCTTCCCTTCATGCTCTCTGAGCTCCAGCCATACCAACCTGCTCACTGCTCCCCCAAATTCTTACAAACATTCCATCATACCTGGGGCAGAAATTTAAAGCTAAAAGGAATTATCTATAATGGCGTCTTAACCTGGGGTCCATGAACTTGTTTATATGTAGATATAGATAGATACATAGATAACTGTATTTCGATATAATTGAACCCCTTTGTATTCCTATATATTTCATTATATGCATTTAAAATATTCTGAGAAGGTTCACAGGCTTTACCAGATGGTCAAAGGGGCACATCACACACACACACACACACACACACACACACACACACACACACATACACACAAAGATTAAAAAACTCTAATGTAGTTCAACTCCCTCATTTTACATATGAGGAAACTGAGGCCCAGAAAAGCAAAGTCACTTGGCCAAAACTTCACAGGCAATAAGCAGCAGAGTTGAGATTGAAAGCTAAGTACAGCGATGTCCAATCTAGCTCTCTTTCCACCATATCAGCTCATTAATTCACCATCCATGAATCAGCAAATATTTACTGTTGCTCAGGTCTCCTTCAGATGGAATCACCTCACCCCAAACTCCATTATAAAAACCTGCTATTATATGGCTCTAATTTGGCAGAGTCAGACCTGCTTGTAGGTCCTAGAATTATGAAACAGGTTTGCCTTTAAACTTTAGATTTACAGAGTACTGAAAATAGTTGGGGGAGGTTTCCAAAGTGGGCATGGGTCAGAAGCGTTTGATGGCATGAAGTGTTTACTAGCTGGAAAAACTAGACTTCCTCCATTCAAAGAAAAGATGCTCCTCTTCTATCCTAGGCAAGAGTCAGTGAGACTTGACCAGGCAGACAAGCATCAAAGATACCA